CAGAGCATCTGATGTTTGTAACAAGACAATTAGTACTAGTATTTTTTTAGGCACTAATCCACTATAAAAACAGACGAGGAAGAAGAAGAGGTAATAATGCCAACATTGTTGATTGTAACTAAACCTGATCTAAACATATTCTAAGAGCTGAATGAAAGAAACTTACTGAACATCCAAATGGACCACATCCCCATTAATCTCCATATGTCGGGTTGATTTGAGGGAAATATAAGATTAAAGGAGAGAGCTCCACCAAGCAACATTGATGCGTATCCTTGGACCTCAAACACAGAGTAGAGTGCAGTGCCAGGCACAGCAGGGTTCTTGGTTGCAGTGGAAGCCCTCGGCGCAAAGGTTGCAGCAGTCTTTTGAACAACCTACCAACACAAATTGAAGTCAGGAAACATGGGCATAATATGCTAAGAACTTGCTGTCATTTCAAACAATTCAAGAACCTCAAGATTGACTTGTATTCTAAGAACTTAGTGTCACCTAATTGTTTGAAATAATAGGGTTATCAAAGCATCTCATGACACCATAAGAAAAAAAAGGCTTTGTTTGGAAATAATTTCGGTTTTAATGCGTATTAGGTTGCGTCAGCTAAGATACTCTCAGCGCATGTTGGATAAAGAAAGAACCTAATACATGTGATTGGAACAGTTATGACAATACAGCCTACCTTTTTAATCTCCTTATCGCTGATGGGAGTAACCAAGGTAGGCTTGCTGTTGCCGCTGCCGCTGCTACTCTCCGGCGCTTCTTGATTGCCTTCTTCCTCGGCTGTGGCGGCGGTGGCGGTGGTGGAATCTACGCCGTCAGGTCGCGCCTCTGCTCGAACTCTTTTGCTGCAGATGAGGGCCAAGGAGCGGGAAGTGGGTTTGGGAGCGGAGAAGATGGCATGAAGCTTTGGAATCCTGAAGCCGGAAGGAGCAGCTGCCGCGTATAACGGGTACATCTCGATAAGCCAAGCGGAGAGTAGAGGCAGCGCGAAGGAGAGAGAGAGCGATCGAGAGAGATGGAAGGCCTGCGTGCGCCCACTGCCCTATCCTCGTATCGCCGCACAAATGAAAGGGGGGAAAAGATTACCCTCTTTCTTGTTTTGACTTCCATCATATTAATATGATGAATACTTTGCATCAATCGTATCATGACACGTGGAACCCGAGTCAATCATCAGACCAAAACTACTGTGGAAATATACTCACCTTCCTTAATTATATACCGTTAATAATAACCATCTCTTCTTCGAGTACCAGACAACCACTATCTTTAATAAAATATTTATCTTATATTTTTAATTTAAATTAGATATCTATGATGTAATATTTTTTATTTTTTAACATAAAAATATTTTAACTTAAACACTCGCTAGCATTAATCCTACAAAAAATTTACTTTTGATTATAGTTATGAGCATAAAAATTATTTTTTTTTATTTTTTGTTATGCGAAAAATTTTAATACGAAGATATGAAATCAAATAACAAGATATCAAATTTATGATATGTATTTTAAAAAACTTTTATCTAATCTAGGGTGTATTATTATTGGATTTGAAAGCTATAATAATATCGATCTGTAGGGAAAACTAAACTTGTTTTCTCCTCTATTCTCATGATATTATGAACGATGTATTAAGGACAAAGGAGAGATGAGAAGATCTGTAATATCTCATTAACTGATTCACATGATTAAAAAGTCATATTATCAAAGAAAATTTATGATTAAAAATATCTTATTTTTCTTTGAATTTTCTTTGATAACCAACAAAATATCCAGAATAATCCTTTGAAGCAAATTTATTTTTATATGATTTAAAGATTAAGACAATCACAAATATATAAATGTCTCTCTTTATCAATATATAACTCAAAAGAGTTGATATAATGTTTGATTTAAAACATACAAATATCATACTTATATATTCCTTTCAAACCAAACTCTATAGTCATTCATAAGACCTTTATAGAAGTAGCATTTTATTGTGAAGATTTTTTTTATAAATTTATATAGAATTTATAAACTCATGTGATTTATACTTTAATTTTTTTATTATTATCCAATATTACTCATAATATTATGAGTCTTTCTTATTTTAATATTAATTCTTTCTAAATATATATACTAATTGGTTTAATTAAGTTTCACTTATCCATAATATTATTATAGTAAATTTTAAATGAGCCAAACTAAAAAAAAATAGAATTAAAAATAAATTATACGATAAATGACTTAACTATATTCATGCTCAATATTCTTGAGCTTACATATCGATATAATTTTGAATTCCTCAAATACTATAATATTAAATTTTAGTCGATTCTTACATTAATATGTTAGTCAATGATTTATCAGAAAATTTAAATTGATCTTTAAATATTCCAATACGTTAGTTGTATACTCTAATGAAGTCTAAGTATTATTAATAATTATCAAAAAATAAAGTCTTTTAAACATTTTATAATCATTTGTCTTAATTATTTGTTTCGATAGTTAAGTTTGTGATCTTTTTAACTAATCTAATCAAAATCTAAATTACATACACTCAAGCTATTTATAATAATTTAATCTAAAAAATATAAAGACAAGTATCACTATAATACAATAATATAATATTAATGATTTGAGTTTTTCAATAAATGAACTATTGATATCATCTCTATTTCACCTTTAGATGAAAAAATTGATATATATTTAATATTCATACAAAAATATTGATGGAGGATTGTAAGGATATCCAAAACATCTTCATACCTAATCATATTATTATTCAAAGTAGATTCTTTTTAGGATTATCTAAATCTCTTGATAATATGTGTCATTATGAATTTTATTTTTTTAATATTATTTAGAATTAATTTTTTAATATAATTTTATAACTTATTAGTCTAAACCACTTTGACGATAATATAATAATTTAAAATATAATTTAAAATATCATATAAATAATAAATTATTTATTATAATTCATATCCCATAAGTCTATCATTTCAAGCCACTTTAATAGTTACTAATCAAAACATAAATATATGAGTTATAAATAATATTCACTAATTTTTTAATCTAATTTATGATTAAATAATTTAATAATAATAGTAATCATAATAATTATTATATATTAATCAGTATAAAGAAAAACTCATATGATAACTATAAATATGATGAAACATAAATCATACGTTTATGTAAAAAATAAATATTATTTTATAATTTTAAATATATACATGTGAATAATTAAATAAATATCTAAGAATAATAATTAAATTTTTATTTATCATGTACAAAATTTTGTCAATATACCATATGAGAAAACTATTAAAGACCATCATAATATATATATTTTTTTAAATCCGTATGAAATCCTTATACTAATCAATCATATTTAATTGGATAAATCCAAAATTAGACTATCCAAATTGGGCTCATAGATTTGAGTTGATTATTTGTCCAATTAGACTTGTCAAAATTAAAATTAATCAAAATTTAATTTTCTCCAAATTCGATATCTAAATCTAGTAAGCAATCAAAATATCGATATTATCAAGTCCGATCAAAATATTAAATTAAATTAAATAATCTTATAATTGAGGACATAATTTAAAAAATATAAATATTAAAGTGTAAAACTATAATTTTGACTTAGGATATATAATTAAAATTTTGGTTTCTAAACAATATATAATGTAACCATCGTTCCATGCACGCATGTGGGTCGACGATGCAGCGGTCATCCATCGTCTATCGTCGCTTGTGGGGCAACTATCCTTACACGATTGATCGATGACTTCATTGGTCATCATGCCATACCACCGCATTCATCGTGGGTGAAACACCCCTATCGCTAACTAACGACCTCCACGGTCGTTGCGGTGCGCGATTATGCCCTTACATCTTGCTGTGCAATCGCTGGGAACCACGACCTTCAATATCTAGTTGACATCGATTACGGGCAACAAGTGTTGCTATTGTTGTCACTAACAGTAATACTATTGTAGCTACCGCATATAGTGGTGTTATCGTAGGGCTACCACACCCTACAGTGTTGCATTAGGTATTTCTTACGACTAGACTAGCAACCATCGAAGGTTGTTACCCTTAACAATAATGTTGTCAATAGCAAGCTATCGATAAAGCACAAGGAACCTCACATCACTCATAAGTAAGCGACAAAACGAACCAGATAGAAAAAACAGATCAATAATACAAACAAATCGATCATACATCATAAAGAAAAACTGAATAACACTTTTTAATAAGCGAATGGTGCTAATGAATAACTCTAAAAGTATTTAGATTTCACAAATATAACTCTAATTTCAATTATAAGAACAAAAACTATCCTTATGCTTCTATTATGTAATAATTTTAATACTAAAATCCTAAACCAAATAACAATATATCAAATTTACAATGAGTACTTTCGATGTCATTCAAAAAGTTCTAATCAATAGGCATATGTCGTCAAATCCGAAAGTTATAGCGATATTGATATGCAAGGAGAACTAGACTCACTTTTTCCTTTCTTTCTATTTTCACAAGACAACTATAAGCGATGAATTAAAGATAATAGAAAAATAAAAAAAAAACTCTATAATCTCTCATTGATCGATTCACATGACTAAAAATAAATAAAAAAAATCTATAATCTCTCAATAATATCGCGTATCTCCGTTTTCTCTTACATGCGTATCCACATATATATATACACATTATATATATAATCTCTAAGAAATTCTATCTATTTATAAACGAAAAAAAAGATCATCACCTAAAACATCATATCATAATTATTTTTAAATTAATTAAAAATCATATTAAGAATCCAATCATAACGATAATATATCCTACTTAATTAAATAAAACAACATAATCTATTAATAGTCTCCTATGCTAACCTTATAAAAGTCTCCTCTGCAACAACATCAGATGCGATCCCACCCTAATGCGACATGCAACTCAACACATGACAACGATTATCAAGAGACTTATATCACAACCACGTTTTCTACCTACAACACACTTCAGAAAGCATAGCAAAGCAAAGCGTTTGGTTGGTGCAGCAGCATCATTAACATATTAGTACAATGATTTAGCTAGCAGTACGTAGCTTGACAAAGTTGAAAAATTTCTAGGATAGGCTGACAAGATACAAATAGTGAGGGTACTAGGCAACAAAGAACTTGATTTCAACCAACTCACCGGGAAACAGTCACTGAAATGCTGTCTGGATGATCAACATATTTCATTACGGTTCACAGGGAATGTTCCCTGCTAGCTGGGAACAAACACGAACAACATCCACAAGCATTACTCAGTCTGTTGCTCGGTTGCTTACAGGCAAGACAAAATCCACATTTGTGCATGGCATCAATTTTGTGTCTTCAACCTCTTGCTTCTGGCTGATGAAGATTTGCCCTCCATATCCTTGGGAACCATCTCTTCAGGAATCTTTGGAGATGTAAAACTAAAATCTGCCACAGACATTTTACCCTTGTATTCTGGATATGCTTCTAGAAACTTGTCAACCTCCACTGAGCTCCTTACTTTCTTTCCGTTAGGCATAATATAGCTCACATCCATTTTAGAGTAATCTGATCTCATAACTAGCCGCCTTTCAGTGTCAGGTGGAGTCTTGGGCAAGTTTGGTTTATCAAGAACCCAAACTCGACTATTGTCGTACTCTATATCACCAGGATCATCACAGGAAAGATTTGAAATTTTGTGGCAGAACCATGGATCCTCAATGAAGTTTTGCCTGATAGTCTCGTATTCTTCTTTTGTTGGAATTAGCCTCCATTTAAAACATTCACCACATTGCACTGCATATGAACCAACACTGTTGGTGGACTTCCGTGATTTCTGTCACAAAAAAAAAAGAGAAGTCAAGATTAACTAAATCACAAGGTTTTTGTCATATAATAAACCCTTCCAGCGATGACATAGGACAAGTTGGAATTTGAGTTGAAAAAATAATATCTGGAGAGAGAGAGAGAGAGAGAGAGAGAGAGAGAGAGAGAGAGAGAGAGAGAGAGAGAAAGAGAGAGGGAAAGGGAAGAAAACTATGATTGAGGGAAAGCCTTGTATTCTCTCCAATGTGTGGCTTGGACAGAATCAAATGTAAGCAGCCTTACATCTTCAAGTAGAGAAGCTGAGCATACTAAAAGAAAAAGAGAAAAAACATGCTTATAAGGTTATCAGAAAAAAAAAAAGGAAAGGGTAAAATAAAGGGAGACAAAACTGGTCGTCCAAACATCAAGGGAACCAGTTGGCATGCCAGACTAGACAAAGCCACCAGAAATAAAAGGGAGATGATTATTAAATCAAAGAAATTTAGGCATACTTAATTTCATCCAGTTGGGAGATGAGCATCATCCTTAACCACACAACAATTTTGTATTTCAATAGGCCCATCTGATTGTGACAACAACCAATTTAGCAGAGAAATAAGTAGTTTGTTACTTTTGTACAGAAGATAGAAAGAAATAGTGCTTATGACATTTGACACGGTTCAAGATATATAAAAGAAAATAATGCTCATGAGAACTTGCCTCATGCAAGACATTAAGGAAAGATAAGTGCTTATGACATTTGATCTCATGCAAGACACAGAAAATGAGGGATAGTAAGAGTCCTTACAGAGATCTTAGAATGAAATGGTTCCATACAATGTAGACTGGAAAAGTGATATTTTCATAAGTCCAAATAGTCCATAAATGTGTTATCAAATTTCTCTTGCTTCTTATAACAAGAACAGCGATACTGGTGTTGAGAAAAGCAATACTTATGACATTTGATCTAATGCAAGACACAAAAAATGAGGGATGGCAAGAATCCTTACAGAGATCTTATGATGAAATCATTCCACACAATGTAGACCGGAAAAGTGAGAGCTTTTCTCAGGTCCAAATAGTCCATAAATATGTGTTATCTAAGTTCTCTTGCTTCTAATAACAAGATCAGCAATACTGGTGTTTGGCAAGTTTGATTCTAACTTTGCAAACCTGTTTTTTTAACAGGAGGAGGACACACTCAAGACTTTGCAGTTTGCCAACTGATCCCTTCCATCCTCATAATGGAATCACTATACCATCTTGTTTTTTTTTATATATATAAATGCATGTTTTATGCTTACTCTCCTCTTAACAGAAAATGTTCCTGATGTCGTATTAGAAATCTTTCATCCATATATGCTAGTTAAGGCATTGAGAACACCCCAATCACAAGGCACAAATGCAATTGGATTAGAACTAAGCATATTTGATCACAAGGCACAAATGCCAAACCTAAAGTCAAGTACTTTATGCACAATCCATTAAATATTGATAAAGCAGGTTTCTTGGATGCAGTTGAAGTAGGATAGAGTGGGGGATAGGTTCTAAGAATTAAAGATTACGAAATGGGTTATAGTTCGTGTGGGAACCACCAGAGGTGGTGGAGTTTGTCGTCATCACCGCTTGTCCTTCCTTTCTCAACTGATTCTTCCTCTTGTTTTACTTATCCATCTTTTTATTTGTCACCAAATGACGACCAAAAAGAAACAAGAGAAGGAACCAAATTTGCTCCAGATCAATCATTTGATCAATTATGGTGAACAGCCGAGAGATAAAATAAAAGCCGGTTGACCTTAGTCAACCCCAGCAGCACAGCTAAGCTGTCAAAACTTGAACCATCGTTTTCAAGCATAACATGTCCAAAATGCCTGATTGTAACCGACTTTGGCTAATACCCAAAATTCAGCTAGGTATCTTGTGATTAAGGCAATTCTGGCAGATATGCCTCATTCGCACATGAATGCTCAAAATTTATAATTTGTTCCATATTCTTTTCATGTTCCATTTCACCCCATTGTGTTTTGGAAAAATATTACTTAATGCAAAAGCCTAAATAACTAAAATGCAAGCTATGCTCTAAGGGGTTAGCTAGTATAAACCCAATGGGGTTAGCCCTCTTCTGCCATTTAAGTTGTCAGCAACACATGGGAATCGATAGTTGTTGCATTCAATCTCTCATGATAAATTGACAAGGAAGGACGCAATGTAGTGTTGTTATATGACGATTTTTGTCAATTCCAGCTGGCCAAGTCAAGATTGTTACATTCGAAAGCAAGTTAAGCACTTGGGTGAAAGATGAGATAGATGTTAGCTTCAGAAGCAGTTTTATATAATTAAAAGGATGAAGGGGACCAAAAGGGAAGAGTTCGTTAACAGTAGAGGATGCAGTGAAGGCAAAAGCTTTCAAGAATGTGAGACGTAGAACATTTAAAACAATATTGTTCTGTAAAATAACGGATTTATGACATAAATTGCGAAAAAAAATTAAAGAAATTGAATAGAAAAATCTCTATAAATGCCAACACGAAAGTTTATATCTTTGTTATATCTTTGTTAGAAGAAATCAAGAACCACAAACATATTCATAATAACGGGAAACGAACAAAATACATTTGTCAAGCGAAAGAAGGATGGGGAGATGAAGAAAGAACCAAAAATCCAAGACAAAACAGCAGCGCGGCACTCGATTGACCCATGGAACCAGGTAAAAGGGAAAAAGGATTTTGATGTACGACCTGAGCAAACCACAGTCGTTTTCATATCTTCACGCCCATATGATGCTAGGGTTACAGATTAACGAGTCCAACGCAGATTTAACTTCGAAACAAGAACTATGTTCGTCAAAATCAAATCTTCAGACAAATCACGAACCCTAGAAAACGGATCCAAAAGCTAGCACAAAACCCCCCACAAAAATCGAACGACAGTGACGGCAAAAATATCTCAAAACTTGTTTGCACCACACACCGCCTTCCTTCCTGATCAACATGAGAATTCAACGAAGAAGAAGAAGACTCGGAGGAAGAGAGGTTGCGTACCTCCATGTGAAGTTCTTACAACCCGCCGAACGGACACCCCTCTCTGTTTCGTTCGTCTTTGGTGGAAACCGAGCCGGGCGACGTTTGGTATTTGGGTTGCAAATTAGGGCTTCTAATTTCCAAGTTATCGGATGCGGGTGGCGTCTAACGCACGTGCCCTCCCCGTGCCTGTTACAAAATTTAATATAGATTTAATTTAATTTTAATTCAATTTAAAATTTCACATAACACAATTACTATTAAATTGAATCTATATGTACAATTATTATTTTATCAAGCTTTCAATAAGGAACAAATAAATGAGCATTTACAATTCACAAACTATTTAAAACCTATATAAATTTATTAGTCACACCATAATATAACCCACCATCTAATTATTATTAGTCGTTATTGTGCTTCTGTCAATTATTACATATCAAGTGTAATCATAAAATACACATACAATCATAAATGAAATTATATTTAATGAAATGACTATTTGGTTATCATCATTATATATTATTAGTGTGAAACATATACAATCATAAAGAAAAGGAGGAGGTTCTACAAAGTGATCCAGTGGACTATGTTTGGGTTACTATCTCCACCTAAATTAGAGGACAACAACATGAGTAATCTTTAGGAAAGTAAAGTAGCATTAAAAGATCATGACAATGTAATGTGTTAATAATGTGATATAGGCTGTTTGTGAGTTGTCTTTGACATTTAATTTAAGATCACTGATTGGAGAATATAAAAGTATGGAGATTAATGTCTGAAATGAAAGCACAAGTACTTTGCTCATTCTCTAGAACTACTTATTCAAGCTAATGATTAAATTCAGAAAAAGATAATGTTTTATATTTTTATTTTTCAGAGTGAATATATCCAAAATTCAGCTCTCTAGATTAAAATTTTTATAAAAAAATATTATAGTCGATGAAGACCATTCTAGTTAAACATAAATATCTTAATCCATTCGTATTATTATTATTATTATACTCAGAAGTATTGTAGTATCTTACCCAATTTGAGTGAGTGTGCTATTATATCGAATAAATGATGAAGATGAGATTCGAACTTAACATATTATGATAAATTATCAAAATATTTATCAACTAGACTAATTTATATTTTTAAAATATATAAAATGATATTTTGAATCCTTAATTATAATAATTAAAAACCAAACTTAATTTATAAAACCCATATTCATCAAAGACCCAAACCACACACTGATGTAACTTTTGCATTAGCTTCTTACTAATAGAAAAGCTCATTTGAAAGACTTGAAATGGGAAAACAGAGGGCATATCAACTAGAAACAAAAGACCTTAGAATATAAACACAGAAAAGGAGGGTAAACAGCACCAGCCATACTTGTTTGCATGGTCAACCCAATGTCTAATAGAGAAGGAGCCTTTTGCTCCAGAGCTTAACAACATCCATCTTAGTACTGATCTTTGAGTAAACACTTGGCATGACCCAAATTCTACTGTTTGACAAGCTAAGATAGATTTGTTTCACTCAATGGGTCATTTGGTGTAGACTTAACAACAGTTTGACCTTTTTGCTGCCACAGCCTGCCTTTATGTTCGATCCCAGAGAAAAGTTGATTCCAGGGCTTTGAGATGTGCAAGAACAGATACTGGGATGGCCTTGTCGACTAGTGCTTTCTATTTCACAAAGTGAAACAAAAGGTCCACTAAGCTATCCTCAAAGCCAGCGGCAAATTGAAGCCAAGCAGCTTGTGCAAGATTTGGGCCACCCTTCCACCATCAAGCATGAATTTTATGAGATGAGAGCATGTCTTGTCCTTGCTGATGTCCAAAGAGCAGTGGCTAAATGCCAAAAACTAGGTATCATATGTACTGCATGATCGATGTTGAGGGTGATGCACGGCAAGCAGTCGCAAGCGGCTCCACTGTTGCAGTGTCTTGCGTGATGATATGGTGCAAAGTGCATGGAAAGAAGCTCTCTCTCTCTCTCTCTCTCTCTCTCTCTCTTTCTTCTTTGAAGCTGCCAAGGCACTGTCCTGTGCACTCTGCAACTGATAGCTGAACATGTAAACATGTTGTTTCTCTCATCTGTACTCGTCAGAGGATAGCTCAGATCGGAATTCTTTGGTTAAATCTGACTCAATTTGAAAAGGAGGTTTGGGTCTGTAACAGTAGAATGACTGAATTCTCATGGATTCTAAAGGCACAATGGCTTTGTGGGTTGTCTCTTTCCAAGCTTTATTTCTGGCCATTGCCCTTTTCCTTCTTTTTCTCTTTTCTTTCTATCCTTTTCTTTACCTTTCTCTCTTTCGCCTCTTGTTTCTCTACTTCAGTATTTGCAGCCTCTTCTTCCCCAACCACTGGTTTGAGTTCCCCTGAATAGGAAGGAAGAACAAAAAAAATCCAAGTGCTTCTTGACAACATGCATTTGTATGGATTCAAGGCCAGCTTGCCTTATGCTTAAAGAAAGATCCAAGCTTGAGATGAAGGTTGCGGCTGCTGACAAGGTCTTAGGTAAATGAAAACATGTTTCTCTGTTTTCTGCAGTGGGGTTCATGGCTGGCCTCTCTCCCAAGGGGACCATAATCTGCGTCCTGGCACTCCAAACCTGCATGCATAACCTGTAGCCTCAGTTGCTTCAAACTGAAAGTTATTGCTCTGATCCACACTGTACATACTGCTCTTGATTGCAGATAGGGTCCATGCTGCTGCACCCCTTGTCATATGAGTCATCTCTCTCTCTCTCTCTCTCTCTTATTGTGAGTTTTCTATTGCCTGAACAAGACAGTGAGCTAACACAGCAAGACTAAGAAGGATCCTGGTTGCATGCATTGGAGTGGTTGAGGCAGCCAGTTGTTTCTGCCCTTGAAAAGGAGGCATCACACCATCACCCTGCTGGCCAATGGACCTGTGGAGGACCCTCACCATCTTTGGGGCAGTTGGGAGGACATATAATTATCTTTCCCTCCGTTATCTCCTCGACATCTGTCGAACTGTTCTGTTCCACACACAAAAAAGAAGGAACCTTGGGAGGATGAAGCCTACTTAGTCCACCTCTCTAACTAAACCTAATAATACTAATTACATTAATAATCACTTTTCCTTCTCCCATCCCATGTCATCCAGCAGTGCAGGAAGAGGAAGCAGGGGAAGAGGAAGGAAGAGCTATGGTTTGTCCAAAGCCATAGCAGGCTTCTTTTCCTCCTCCAATTCAAGGGAGCCACCACCTCTCTCCTGCTCTGACCACTTTACCCCAATGCTCAGAATGATCACCCTCAAGCTCCGCCGCCTCTGTTCCCTACACCGGTGGCCCCTCAAGCGCCGCCGAGCCAAGACGACTGTCCCGATCTATAGATTCGGCCGCCCAACGCAGGAAAGTGAAGCCGTCTGTGGCAATCGTCATCAGCCTGCGGTCCGGTCCGGTGACCTGATTGGCGTCCCCGAATCGACCAGGCCAATTCGGCTTGCTACCTTCAACGCCGCCATGTTTTCGATGGCGCCTGCCGTCCCCAAGTCCGGGAGGTGTCTCGGAGCCGAGCAGGAGCTTGACATGCGGTGCAAGGCGGCCAACGACAGGCCCAAGAGCATATTAAAGCAGCCGAGCTTGGCGAAGGCCAAGCTGAGGGTGTCCATCAATCTTCCCGACAACGAGATCTCGGTGGAGAGGAGCAAGCAGTCGAGTTCACGGAGGCAAGTGGGCGAGGAGACGACCGCAGCGTGGAAAGGCAAAGCTCCTGTGTCTCACAGCTTTAGCATGTCTGCCGTCCATGGTCTGGGGAAGGAGCCGGAGAAACTGAGGGCCGACAGGAGCATCTTAGAGGTTCTGAGAGAGGTAGGAGCCGATGTGATCGGACTGCAGAACGTGAAGGCAGAAGAGGAGAAAGGGATGAAGCCGCTGTCGGACTTGGCTGAGGGGCTGGGCATGAAGTACGTGTTTGCAGAGAGTTGGGCGCCGGAGTACGGGAATGCGATACTGTCCAAGTGGCCCATCAAGCAGTGGAAAGCTGAGAAGATCTTGGACGATGCTGACTTCAGGTATGTTCTTTCTTCTGCAAAAGGAACATGTTTCCTTCACCAATTTCTTGGCTCTGATTGCAGAATTCTATATATCTTGGCTTCCCTAGGAAATCTTTTTGACATCCAGAGAAAGATTTAATGTGTTTTACCTTGTAGATTAGATGACTGGGGCAATCATAGTTAGAGCTAGCTGATGGCAGCTTTCGGGTGTTTTAATATTTGTTACTGTATAGATTAAAGAGCTCATCGTCTCTCTGAGTGATCAAACATCCCTACTTTCTGATGTTCGGTATCACGAACATCGTTGCTGTTCTCACAATCTAGTCAGATCCTTCCATTTTTCTTTCCTCAATTGTTAAACCAAGATCGACCAGCATCTGAAAGTATCCTTAATGGCTTGTTTGTGGGTGATCACGTAAGAACTCGTTCACATGCTCAAGAAAACTGCAAATCTTCGAACAGGAATGTGCTGAAAGCCACCATCGAGGTCCCCGGAGCAGGAGAAGTAGAATTCCATTGCACCCATCTCGATCACCTCGACGAGAACTGGAGGATGAAACAGATCAACTCGATACTACGTTCCAGTGACCGACCTCACATCCTGGTTGGTGGCCTCAACTCTCTTGATGAAACAGACTACTCTGCAGAGAGATGGGCGGATATCGTCAAGGTAGTCTTCCTATGAATCCTTGTCTGCAGAAGTTGGGGAGGCCATCTCTTTGTACCATGCAAAGCTTCTGAACATTACTGATCTCTTGCAGTATTATGAAGAAATTGGGAAGCCAACGCCCAAAGTTGAGGTGATGAAGTTCCTAAGGGGGAAACAGTACCTGGATGCCAAGAACTTCGCAGGGGAATGTGAAGCTGTTGTTGTGGTCGCCAAGGGGCAAGGTAATCAACCATTCCCCCGCCAGTTGGTTGTGCTCGAGCTCAGATTGCTGCAGGAGAAGTAATGGTTCTGCTCTCAATTCTACTTGTAGATGTGCAGGGGACCTGCAAGTATGGGACGAGAGTAGATTACATCCTGTCCTCACCATACTCGCCCTACAAATTTGTGCCTGGTTCTTACGGTGTGCTCTCATCCAAAGGCACTTCGGATCATCACATTGTGAAGGTGGACATGGTGATAGCTAAGACTGACGGGAGCAGCAGCAGCAGGCATCACCCATGGAAACAGAGAGTCGTGAAGATGGATGCCTCCTCATCCAAAGGAATATGGGATACTGATTTGTAGTTGTTCTCGTTCCTTCCTTCTTCGTTTTCCTGTTCATAGATTTTGACACGGTCTTCTTTTTTAGCTGTTGCTTGATGATGTATTGGATTAGAAGTTTGTGGTGTCACAGTAGACGGGAAGCTGTATTCTTTTGCTTCCCAATAGATACTGCCATTGTTGGTCTTTGCTATGAAAGGAATTGCCGTTATATATATATATATATATATATATTCCAAAAT